TACGTAAATAATTCCTTGTTGGTGTTGAAAAAACTCTTACCGGGACATTCATTGCGCCAGATTTGACATGACGTGGATTCTTTAGACGCTTCTCTCTTGAAATGTAGACCAGATGTGACAATCCATTGGAACCATCATCCTGGTTCTCCCATATAACCTATATTGAGATGAGACAATTCTATTTTTGTAAATACTATTGACCATTTTTACAATGAATTACTGAGAAAATATTACTTTCTGGTGGCTCCTGCACTTTGTCGCAATACAAACAATATCATTTAAATGAATTTAAAAACAGTCATTATTGTCCCAGATGTCTTCAATCATTATTTCACTTCCAGCAAAGTTGGTGGATTAATATGAGCATTAAAGAATTAGTCAAGTATGAGGAAAAAATCATTTCACGGATGGGTCTATCAACTCTTAATTAAAAATTAATTAATTATTTTATTTCTAAAGAGATTGAGTTTAATACATGTGATTTTTTAAGGTGACAAATCCACAAAAATTAGGCAAGTATGTCATATTTTCAATTAGAGGCACCAGGAATATACGAGAGATTGAGAAATATTCTTTACGTTGTCACCAACATTTTCAGGCACAATCGGTCAAAGGAGATATCCTCATTTACAAATGTTTTCTCTTTGAAATGGCTGGTACCTTATCGTTTGGATATTTATGAATTTAAAAAGGAGATGTGGCTAAAATTGATGAGCAGAGTCACAGAGTTTATAAAACGTATTGTATGGACATGTTTTAGGACGTGTGATTGAATATGTGACTGCTTCTTTTTAATTTTGTTTCTTTAGTTTTTCTATTTGAATTATTCCTCACTACAAGATAGAAAGATATAAAATTTTATTATGCAGCCCGTAGTCTATTTATAGCCTAAATCTATCTTTTAAATTCTCTAAATTATAGATTTTTTTCACATTTTCTAGACCCTTTTTAGATAATTTTACACACATTTTGCCCATGTTAAATTTTTCTTTAAAAATCTATCTATATTTTTACTAATTTTTAGATAATATCTCTAAGTTTTATTCTTCTGGAATTTGTAAGTAAGTACGTGCATCAATTATCCAACAAGACCTTGTCATCATTATTCATTTTGTTTTTGCAATAATTTTTATCATTAAACTAATCTCTTTCATCCTCTGGTAAACTTCTCTCTTTTACCGGCTGGTGAGATGAAGTTATAGGAAAGTTCCTTAAGTTTTCTGGAATAGTTATCAGGGCTCAGTTTATTTCGAAGTAAAATATTTTTTCAATGTATATATATATATATATATATATATATATATATATATATATATATTTAAGTAAAATATTTTTTTATTTTTATTTTTATTTTTCAATGTTTGGTAAAAGGTTTAGGTCGAGTCTATAAGGTGGATTATGTAAAACAGCTTGTCGAAAATTGATTAATAAGTTATTTTTGTAAAGTTTTAATATTTTTTTTCTTTGTAAATATTTTACAACAACCAAACAACAAAAAATACAAACAAAAAAAAATTCTGAAAAATATTTTACACTCAAACAAATGTAGCCTAACCGAGAGACTTTGTCATCCAATTGACACGTTACATTTAGTTTTTGCAATTGTTTCCTTCATGGAGTTGACAGTAAATTTTTTTTATTGTAGTCAGAGAAAGATAATAACATCAAATTCCGTTCTAAATCATGCAAGATTAGCAAAGATGAGCTACATGAAAGGACAAAACACGCGATTAAACTCCACTAATCTTTTAACTAAAATATATTTCTTAATGCATATTTCATTAATTCTAAAATAAAAAATAAAAAATTTGTAAAAATAAAACAAGTACAATAGGGTAATATTGTAATTTTGAGGAGTGACAAGAATATGTGCGGGGTTGCTTAAGAAATAACAAGCCAAAAAATTAATATTAAACGAGCTCAAAATTTAAGATTTACTTTAATTTAATTTATTTGCTTATGAAATAATTTCGAGTCAAATTCAAATAGTTTATGAACAACTTAATTCATTTGCAACTTTAAGTAAAGAAATCATTTGAATCTTAAAATCTTTACGGGGAAGGACCAAATCACAATAGGGTAATATTGTAATTTTGAGGAGTGACAAGAATTTGTCACATCTTTAAAAACTCTCAACAGTTGCAACATTAATTCATTAGCACAGAAACACGCTGAGATGTCTAGGTTTTGCAAATATAGCACATACACACTTTCAAGTTTCAACAATCACAAGTTGCTGTGTGTATTTTCTGTAGACCAATTTACCCCTTTGCCTAAAAGATACGTACTTCACCAAATCATGGTACATTTTCATTGTTTTAGCAATCAACATCACCACGACATTTTTGTACACTATTTGATTGTTCAATGTAGAGAGAGAACAATTTGACGCTTTTGAGACCAAATATCATGGAAGCAACCAGCATTTTTTCCAATAGATCATAGCCCACTGAATCATAGTAGTTTCCAAATGGAATTATGCCCAAACAAGAAGTTCTTATTTGTTCACTTTTTTATATTATAGGGTAATTTTTGAACGCGATTGATGTTATTTGCACACTCCTCTCCTGAAATTACGAGTGAGTTTTTTGCACTTTACAAAATTAAGAAGTGACCTTATACTTTTGAAAGTGGAGGGAAAGCAAATAGTGAAAGAGACACCTTTGAAGATTTAGGCCCTACGTTTTTTTACCAAATTTTCAAATGTTTTCAAAAATCTTCCAGATGTGTTCGGTTGCATGGATTAGAGTTTTGAAATTAGGATTGATCAAATTTGAAAAAAAAAAAAATAGCTAAGAAAATTGAACAAAATTTTTTAAAAATTTTACCAATTTTAATTTCAATACTTCAATTTTATGCCGCCAAATACACCCTCAATTCATTTGGTTGTGTTATAGAAGTTGAATTTTCACGTAGTTAAGGAATGCCAAACTCATCTTATGTGAAGTGTTTAATTTTCATTCTTGCTTGAGAGATGGATATTTCATTGGTTAATAAATAAATAAATAAATGTATATCAAAATGTATATCAAAAATAAAAATCGCACGTCTTATGTACTTATATATAAAATAAATAAATAAAATTTGTTGTTTTTAAAAGGAAGCTATCCGTTTCTAATTCTTATTTGTGGACCACAAACATAAGAGCAATTCTATATTTTCTAAAAATAATTTTACATACGCAGACTTAAAATAAATAATTATACACTAAATCCTGGCGAATTTAGAATCACTTAGATTTTGATTTTTATCATCCTCACAAATTTAAAAGCAGCCAAATTCTACGCATTTCCATTTGTAATGCCCACACCTAATCATTAGAAATATATCTTTAATGTGTCATTTGAAAATATCCTCAATCATTATTTTACTTCTGAGACAACAAAGTTCGGTTGATAGAGCATATGAAAGTGTCTAAAAAGAGAATCGCCTTTTGTCACTAAAAAACGGCGGATCAATATGAGGATTAAAGAATTAGCCTGAAGCAAGGCTCTAAGAAAAAAAAATCATTTCTTCTGTCAATTCTTAATTACTTTATAAAAGAAAGAAGAAAAAAAAAAATTATTTTATTTCAGAAGGGGTTGAACTAAATACATGTGATTTTTGAAGATGACGAATGCACGAAAATTAGGCGACTTTAGATAAGGCACCTCGGATATAATTATAAAACTCATTTGAAGGTGCTGATACGTCATCGTTGGGGTTTTAACTGACTTGAGGAAGAGGGATGGCTCAAATGGCTGAATAGGGTCACATAATTTATAAGGGGTTTGATGAAAATAGAGCTTCACATGCGTAGTGTTACACTATAATTGAATTGTATGAACATGTGATTGAATATGTGATTGCTTCTTTTTAATTTTATTCTTTTAGTTTTTCTAATTGAATTATTGCTCACTACAAGATAGAAAGATACACAACTTTCTTGTTCCAGTTTTTTTTTGTCATCTTGGAAAAGATATGGTCACTCCCTGGTCTATTTATAGCCTAAATCTATCCTTTAGTTTCTATAAATTAGATATATTTTCACATTTTCGAGTCGTTTTAGATAATTTTAAACACATTTTGCCCATGTTAATTTTCTTTAAAACTAACTTTTAAATAAAATCTCAAGTTTTTTTCTTCTGGAATTTTTAAGAAAGTACATGCATAAGTATCCAACATTCAACATACCTTGTCATCCAAGAAATCTTGACGAGTTACATTTTGTTTTTGCAATAATTTTTGTCATTTAACTAAGAGACTTTGTCATCCAATTGACCGGTTACATTTTGTTTTTGCAATTTTTTATTCGTATAGTTGTCAGTAAAAAATTTTATTGTTGTCAGAGAAAGATAATAACATAAAATTCGGTTCTAAACTATGCAAGATTAGCAAAGATGAGCTACATGAAAGCACAAAACACGCAATTAAACTCCATTAATTATTTAACTCATTAAAAATTAAGATTAAACGAGCTCAAAATTTAAGATTAAACTTTATTTGCTTAAGAAATAATTTCGAGCCAAATTCAAATAATTCATGAAAAATTTAATTCATTTGCAACTTTAATTAAAGAACAAATCGATTCATTTACAGTATTAAAATCTTTATGAAAAATGAGTGAGGAAGGACCCAACTACAATAGGGTAATGTTGTAAGGGCCCAACGTACAGTGGTTGTCATATCTTTAAAAATTCTCAACAGCTGCAACATTAATAATTCATTCACACACAAACAAACCGAGATCTAGGTTTAGCAAATTTAGCACACAGAAACTTTCAAGTTTCAACATCACAAGTTGGTGTATGTATTTTCTATAAACCAATTTACCCCTTTGCCTAAAAGATACATATTTCACCAAATCCACGTCCGATCGCACGTCGGACCAAACCAACTTCAAGTTGGCCGGAGATCAGTTGCTACCTGCAATAACCAGATGGACAATCTCAAGATACATTTTCATCATTTTAGCAATCAACATGACCATGATATTTCCGTACACTATTGATCGTTCAATGTAGAGAGAAAAAGAAAACAATTCAACGCTTTTGAGACAAAATATCATCTAAGCAACCAGCATTTTTTCAAAAGATCATAGCCCACTTAATCGTATAGTAGTTTCCATCTGGAATTATGCACGAAACTACAAGTCAGCAAATGCCCAAGATAAACTCCCAACTTTCCACAGAGAAGGAACTCAAACAAATAATTTATATCCAAGGTAGGAAAAGAGAAACTACTCTCTTGCTGCAGCTAATTCCTCACAAGAAAGGGGAAAACAAATCAGTCCCCCCTATTTTGCTTGAGGGTGAGATGCAATGAAGTCAACGGCAAGATTGATGGAGTGAATCTTGTCTGCTTCATTATCAGGAATCTCAAACCCAAACTCTTCTTCAAATGCCATCACAATCTCCACAGTGTCTAAACTATCTAGCCCGAGATCATTCTGGAAATGAGCACTTGGTGTAACCTGCACAACGTAAACATATAATTTAAAAGTATGCAATTATACCATGCCAGAGAATCATCCCACAAAACAAAGCCGGCACTGAGAGTGTTTTCTTATTAATGCAACTTTAACCTAATTGTTTTTTCAATACAAGTAGAGAGGAGGGGCATTTTCAACATTTCTCACTCTTGCACTTCCACTAGAGGACCCTATCCATTAAAAGTGCTTAAAGCACTTCAAAATGCTCCCTTAACAAACAAATTAGGGGAGAGAGAGAGGGGTTGAAGAAAAAGCCAGGGAACCTCCCATGCAGTAAAAACCCTATACTAAAATAAATTCATATCAAAAAGCAAATACTAGTTTTCGTCATAATTGAAGTCAAGTCCAAAACAAATTCAGAAATATATATGACATAAGGAAGCACTCGGCTCAGGGGGATAATACCTTGAATGTTTTCTTAAAGTGGGGAAAAGTGCGGAGACCTTCAGAGAATGGGGTACATCTTAACTTTATGAACAAAGATAATTAGATGTATACATGAATCTTATCAAAAACACGTTTTCTCCCTTGAGCAGTATCTTTGCCACCTCCAAGGGAGAGGAAGGGCCCAAGGTTCAAGTCCAAAGGGTAAAAAGAAAAAAAAATGGAAAAGGAAATCTAGCAAGAACCGATTTCACCAAAAGCACATTTACACATATACCAAGTCCGAAAACAACCTCATGACAACAAATGAGTTGGACAACAACAGCCTGACCTGCATTTACAAAAATCCAAGCTGACCAACATATTCAAAGTCCATTTGAAGCTTAAAAAAATGACCAACCTATTTGTAACTTCCCGGAGTTTCACCCATTTATATACTATTTTGAAGGTCCTAACAGAATTCTTCTAGCATGAAATGTCCAGCTCTTACAACTTTCTTACACAACCAGAAACATTGCTTCTCAAGAAGATCATCCAGTCTTGAACATATGTGTCGCTAACCCTTCCCCACGCAACAATGTGAAAACCTCACTTACCTCAGGGCTAGTCACGTTGAATCTGTAGAGCAACTACAATAATGCGCATATCCTAATCCAAATCACAACCACCCAATTATGGTCTAAAAAATTATCAAGCAGATCCAAACCTAATTTAACTATTATTGACTCTCTAGACACTTTTTTTTTTTTTTTTTGGTAAGTAATGGACTCTCTAGACACTTAGAAAGCTACTAACCAAAGAATCAAATGATAAGGGGAAAAAAAAGGTTGCAAACAATTATACATTTGTCTGATCACTTTTTTGGTCTAATTTTTCATATCTACAATCACGTTTGCAACCGGAACTATTTGAGAAACAATATGGTTTATGAAAACAAGAAATATCCCTATCAACTACTCCCTCCGTCCACAAAAAGTGTCCCTTTTTGGGAACCTTACTTTTTAAGAGTATAGATTTTAATGTTTTTTGTTATAGTGGTAGGGAATGAATTTCCAAATATACCCTTCTATGGTGGGTCCACATGAGGTCTTATTTCAAACTTTAATTGCTTTTATAACTTCAAGGCAAGGAGGGTAAATTAGGAATATTAAAAAAATAGTAAATTGAATTTTGAATTGGGACAATTATTTTGGAACCGTCAAAAATAGAAAGGCGGACACTTTTTGTGGGACAGAGGGAGTAACTTACAAAACTAGATAAAGCCTTTCTCAACTAATTGGAGTAAACCACTAAAATCCTTTTTACTTATCCCACTTTATCAAACCCCAAATTTCTGTTCGAGCAGGCTAGTTATAGGCATTATGTGTTCCTTTCATGAGGTAGCAGAATTGTTAGCAGCCTACTTCAGGTAGACTGCAGAAGCATGATTTTTAACTGGCGCACAACAATAATATTATGTTGCGAAAGAACAAAATATTGAAGAATTGTCCATCATACTTATCGATATGGGCCATTTTCACAAAAAAAAAAAATAGCAGCGTTTAATGCCAATAGAAGCAGAAGTGATGAGGATTATTAACGAATTGAAATCGAACAGTGAGGGGCAGTGCTTTGAGGTGGCTTCAGAATGTATTAAGACTACAAGGGACTTTCTTCAGGTTGGGATCTTGAACCAAATTGCAAGTTGGCTGCTAGGACCTGAGATGTATCCATTTAAGAAGCGAGTCACCTTGTTTCGCACACATGTTGAACAGTGACCCTTCTCAGACACTTCCAAACATGTGTCCAACACATTTTTGGGCGTGTCTATAATTAAATTATCCTCTTAAATTTCATTGACGTCAACATGTGACTAATGAACCTTGTACATTAAATACAAGTTTCTTTTAGTGAAAAAGGTTTAAATGCAAGAAATATTCAAATTACAAGTTTATTTTATAAAAGGAGTGAACAACATAGTAGCAAAATATACAGCAATCATCAAAATTTTGTACAGTTTATAGGTTATAAAATGTCATCTAGTCATTAATTTTTAGAAGTCGTTATCAAGTAAAGTTTGCCAAATATAAGATAATTTTTATATATAAAAATACTCCCTCGGTTCAAAAAATAGCATCCCTTTTCTCCTTTGAGATGCCCTTAGATCAAGTGTTCCTTTTTTAAAAAGTCAATCTATAAAACGAGGACCATCCAGATATGCCCAGTTCAGCAGGTAATATAAACGAGAAAAATCAGCCCAACCCAACCAAGATTGTTTGCTACTTCGATCAAGCCCGGGAAGAGCTTCAAATGACTGGATTAAAGCAGCTGGGGGAGGGAATCCTACAGAGGCGGTGGTTTTTGGGCCAGGAACACAGACGAAGACCAGGATACCATGCAGCATCTCAATCAAGTAGGAAGGGCAGTCAAGATACTGATGGCTGAGGTGTCTTCCATACTTTCGGGGTTGCACAAGCCTTCTGAGATGGAAGTCGGGAATAGGGCTCGGACTGCCTAGGAGCAAGTGTACTGCTGCAGAATTGAAATTGGTGTTTGTGGGACTGTCCAGGAACATGGAGAAAGAAGGCCGAGGGTGGCAGAGTGTTTACAGAACAGTGGACAAGGATGACAATTGAGAATCTTCAAGCCCTTCCCAATTGAGTTTTATCTACAGTTCCTGAGGTCCCTGGGTTTAATCCATGCAAAGAATGGTCACGATTCTGAAGGTTTTTGCTTTTAGATGTGGAGAATTATTCCAGGCAGAGGAGGAGAGTTTGGATACAAGTATCCCTGCTGAGGAAAGATTATGGGTGAAGAGACTGAAGTTTATACCATTCTTGACAATGGATTATCTCTGACCGCAGCATCCGATCAATGCAACTTGATTTGGTTATGGACCATAGACAGCCATTTAGGGACATAGGGGCAGGTGACGTGGGAAGATGCTGGGCTATGCTGAGGAGTGGAGGAGGAACTATGGGTCTACCGCCAGTAGAGTGCATGCCACCAACTATGGTGATCCTTTCTAAAAGACACCCAGACAGAAATTGGGATGGGAAGGAAGATCTGTGAGCTCGGAAGGCGGCGGAATGATTCATGGCAAATCTGAAGGAGCAAGTAAACATGTGGGCTCCCTGTGAAGGCCCCAAAGAAAGAGCGGTACAACTTGTTGAAGCTATACATTGGAGTTGGTAGAAAAATAAAGCGGAAGACAGGAGAAGGGGGAGGGGCCACATCGAAAGGGGCAAAGGGAGTTGAAAATTTTAGTTTCAACCATAAACCAAGAAGTGAAAGTAGCAGGTAAGGGAGCAAAACTCATTGTTAGAAATGATCTGTATTCTATTTTGGATGCATTGGGTTTAAGAAAGGTATAAATGCTTGAAATTCTTTTCTAAATATAGATTTTAGGTTTTGTAATGGTGCAAAAGGAGGGGCAAGGCCTGGAGTGTTAACTAGGCAAGGAAGAACAAAGTTAGAGGGCCTCTTCTGGTGGTTGTAAGCAGTTCCAGTAAGCTGTAAATCCACTTAATTTCAAATTCTTTTTTGTGCTATGGTTGAGTGATTGATGTAGGTACGAAGTGGGCTTTATCCAATAAGGTTTTACGAGTAGAACGAAGGTCCAAAAAAGATTTGATCAAGGGCTTAACAACAATACTAGACATGAAAGATGAGAATAAGGAAGAATAAACTCTAGAAAACATTCCGAGATTCCTTTAGGCATCACAACTTCGGTAGGAATTGCTCCGCACAATCCGCAATGAGCACTATTTCTAGTACATTTCTCTGGAGCTTGTTCTCTATTGAACTCTAGTACAACTAGAATATATTATTTAACAAAGAGATTTTGGATAATCCGTATAAACTTACTAGAATCCACACACACAGACTTGATATATGACGATCCAAAATGCAACACACGAACCCCATGCTACAGCCCACGTAGGATGAATCTAGAGTTACCAGAAATAGTCTTGACTCCTAAAGTATAAGAAAACCTACAGAATTGACCAGCAACATACTAACCTACAAGTAAACATAATAAAATGCTTTAGAAATACTAAACCTCAACCAGCCAAGGTCCTAACTAGGTCCTGCTTTAAAATCAAGTCCATTTCTGAAGTTATTCTCTTAATCAATATGCTATTCTTGAAAATATTATGGATTGCGTCAAAAACACTATTAATCAAAAGGAAAAGTTTTCAAACACTGCAAATAGCTACAGGACAATAAGATGAAACCTTCTTGATGAAAGGCAAAGTAATGAATGGACAATGCAAAGTTAACCAGCACTTAACAAAAGTCACTAGTTCTAAGGGGCAAATTTATTAGCAGAGAAAATAAACTGTGGCAGTTAAACCAGAGACAGTGAGATACCTGATCCTATAAAGAAAGGGATAAACAAAAGGATAAAAGCAAGACTGATCATAGATCAACACGTCGTTAGGCTACCATAGTGATGCAGTATAGAACCCACATATGAAACATGCAAAGCTAAATGGAAGAAAACCTCAAGAAACCTTTTCATAAACATATCCTTGTTATTTCTCTACTATTAACACTATGACGCTGATAGTTTGATGATTCAAGAAAACCCCAAAGCCTAACAACCTAAATATGTAAAAGAAGATATTAGGTCCTCAACAAACATGAACAGTCTCAAAATCATATTAATCAATATTGTCTTGCAATCTGATAATCATTATCATTAGTGCTATGATCAAAGCACACATTTGAGTAGTAAATAAGTAACCAACAATGTGCTTGAAATCGTAAAGTCATGACACTTTTATCACTTCAAATGTCAATAAGAAATTTCTTGAGAGATATAACTTTACATTGAAAATATCTCAATATTGCTCTAGAAACAGCAATGAAACAGTTAAAAGACAAATATTAGACAAATGGAAAGACACATTGAGATAATAAACTCATAATACAGAGAGAGAAAGGGACATATTGACAGGCAGAGTGTTCTTTCTTAATAGGCCCAATAACATTGTCTACTGTCCAGAAATGCCATAACGAACTGAACGAAGAATGTAACGACTCCATGTATCGAAAGACATGATTAATACCTCCTAAAACAAAAGAATCAGCCTAAAGTTCCACTGAACCGGCTTCTGACCATATAACCAATGTAATGCTCAGTGAACATTTGGGGATCTCTTTTTCCTTTAGTTTATTATTGTTCTCATAATATAACAAAAGGGCACATTTATAGCATTTTTATATGCAAACTTCAAAACAAAAAGAAGGCACAAGACAACATGTATTTGCCAAATATGTTTCATTATTTGAAAAAAATAAAAACATGCTTCATTTGTTTTGCTTCCAGAGAATAATAACTGATCAAATAACCAAGCACAAAGTAAAAATAATCACTGTTGCATACAATAATGCATCCAATAATTATTGGACAATACCCATAATAAAGAACAATATTAGACTAGGTTGTTGATCTCCCAGGTCCCAATTATTATTAAAAAAAAAAAAAAATTGGGTATGAAATACCTTCCACTTGAAACCCTACAATCAAACCGGGCATAATAATAAATAAAAACCCTAATTTATTCATGTTTACCTTGGAAGGGTCAACTTTCTGGAAGTTCTTGACAACAGAGACGACTCGGTCTGCGACCTCGGACTTGTCGAGGAATGAACCCCTGACCTCCTCCGAGAAGTTGCGTCGGAGCAGATGGACGAAGGAGAGAGAAACTGAGCTAGGGTTTGGAGGCACGGGTCGAGCGTTCACCCTCAGGTGCTTGAGAAGTGCATTTCTCGCCGCCATTGAAGAAGTCCTTTTACCGGAGAGCTATTACCTATCTTGAACTTCTCACTCTGCTGATTTGTTGATCAAACCTCAAATGACCAAAACCCCCTTGCCATTGAGAACTGAGAGAAGCATTTTTAGGGCTGCAACTCGGGTGGGATTAAGGTATAACAGTATAACATGAGCCCAACCCTAACCTTAGCCTCAGCCTAGTTACTCAACCCAACCCCAATTCTTCCTTCTACTTTTAAATTCGAGTTTGCAATTCAAATTTAGATTCCAGGTAAAAATTTCAAGTTAATTCAGGTTACTTACATGGCTAATCTTTACACCGAAAATTTAATATGATCTTGAATTAGTTTTAAATTAAATTACTCTTAAACAAGAAAAAATTTAAAGACTTTTTGTAGATTTTTAATAAATTACAAACAAATTTTTAGAAAATTAATTCTCCTAAATAGTAATATACAATAAGTTAATATTTAACAAAAGAAGTTAAAAAGAAAAAAAGAAAAAAGTAATCATTGTTTTTTTTATTATATATAATGTATTTAGAACTAAAAATATATATATATATATATAATATTAAAATTCGGGTTCGGGTTGACTCGAGTTGCTAGCACTTTAACCCAATCCCAACCTTAATCAAATTTGGGTTGAGATTTTTCAACCCAAACCCAACCCTAATTATAAAAATGATTGCCCAAGTCCTTGAAAAATCAAGCTGGGCTAGGGTTGGATTCGGGTTACCCAACCCAAGTTACACTGCGTATGCTGCGTAATTTTCAAATTTTCTTAATTTTTTATTTTTTAAAAATTACAAGGAAAGAAAAACCTGAAATGAAACTCATTCTTACAGAAAACCTAAATTTTTAAAAATTATATTAAGAGACATTTTTGTTATTATAATATCACTTTAATATTGCATAATTTTCTAAATTTTTATTTTTAAAAATTATAAAGAAAAAAAAATTAAAATAAAAATTATTTTAATGAAAACGTAAATTTTTACTAAGGGCTAATTGTACTGTGCCAAAATTTGAAAGTGAAAGGGATTTTATGCAATTTTCCCTAGCCATTTTCCTCGACATTTTGTATTTCATGTCAAAGCCAAAATCAAGTCTTCGATCAACCAGGCCTTTTAGCAATCTAATGGAAGTTGGATCAATTCCATTGAGGATTTTTGGTTGTTCAACTAAATCAAGGTCTTTTACCAGCCTCATGAAAGTTACATTAATTGGTAAAATTGAAAAAGAAAAAAAAAAATTATTCAATTTTCTTAATTATTTTTTTCCAATTCCGCGCCTGCCAAACATAAAATTTCTAATCATTTACGAATACTGAATTGGCAACTTGATATTTTTCTTTTATGCTTACATAACAATTCATTGGAAGGCCATAACAGTACAAATTATGTACAATATTCATGCATGACGATGCATTGAACTTTGCCAAATTGATTATCACATGCATGATGCCTAGTGCTTCTAATATAAATATGCAAATTATTCATTAATAATATAATATCATTCCAAAATACATATGTCTAATTTGTAATCATAATTCATTAATTGGCTTTGTATTACTAATGATCACTACTTATAAAACAGTTCATCATGTAAGTTTCATAAGTGCTACCATTACCATTGACAGTCATGAGTCAGGAGATTAGAAGCCTAACAACTGAGCAAGTTTAGAAGCCTAAAAATGATCAACAAAATAATTTATTAAACAAAAAAGACCAAAAAAATCAAAGAGCTGATATAAATGTGCAACCCTGAAAGTGAAAATCTGGATTAATTGTTATTCTAATCCACTAGAGGACATGGATGCACTGTATTTGTATTTGAGGTAGGCTTTAATGAAGGGATCCAATTCACCATCCATAACAGAAGTGATGTCCGAGGTCTCGTACGCTGTTCTTACGTCTTTCACAAGCTTGTATGGATGGAATACGTAGTTTCGTATTTGCTGGCCCCACTCGGCCTTCACGACATCTCCTCTAATTTGCTTGATTTCAGATGCTCGTTGCTCCACCGCGATGACCATCAGTTTAGCTTTCAACCGGCTCAAGGCCTTGATCTTGTTTGCCAGTTGGGACCTCTCTTCTGCATTACAGACGAGAACAAACTTCCATTAATGAGCTGGGAGAAAAAACAATACACTGGCAGTAAATAATTTGAAATAGAGAATGCAATACCTTAAAAAAATCATGTTATTGAATTGTCATATCAAGATCATTAAATCCCACTTGGTTGATATGTACAAAATTTTCATTTCTCCTCCTCTAAGAACTCAAAGGAGTTCACTCGGGGCTCGGGAAAATCAACACGTTCCTCGATTAGCACTCAATACCAAAAAACATGAAAGGAAATCAAGGACATCCTACTTTGCAATATATTAAAGGAACCAATTTGAAGGTGTGGTATATAGATATCCCCCGGAAATTGAATTCCCCCATTGATAATTTATATGGAAAAAATTTCAGTTAGATACAGTCATCTTCAATGGTGCCATTAGGAAAAAGGACATCTATTTCATGAATGATGTTTGAATTTGTTGAATTTCTATCATTTCAAGGAAACATGGGAAAAATCACAAACAATAAATGACATATGATAAAGTATCCTAATTCCAGTGGGCCCAGTATAGACAATTTAACTTTTACTTCAATCACCAATTCACCATAGAAAATGAAATAGGCCCATTCAAATTCAAAGGGGAAATCAGAATGCAGCCTCGGTCAGTTCAAATGCTCTCCTAGATTTATCTTTGGTTTAACCAATACTCTAAGCAAATCTCTTCCAAATGCTCACTTGTTTTGATGATCAGTTTGTTTCAGTTCGTTGCCCATTTGGACAAGCTAGCCCCAGTGGCATCTAAAGCTTATTGCGACCTAAATTTTTTTTTTTTTTCCTAATTGGTACTCACACACACATGCCTCCAATGAGGCTCGAACCCTTGACCTCTCTTTGAGAAATAGGGGCTTCATACCGCTAGGCCACTGGCCTGTTGGTTATTGCGACCTAAATGTTTTCACTAAAGGTCACAAATTTGCTTTAAAATAAATGAAGTAGCTTCCATCACTACGTTTAGGGTGAAAAGAAGAAAATGTACCAGTTACTCTGTGAAGGGACTGTTGCATTACCTATTCTTTCCCAGGGAGATGATTTCAGTGCAATAATATGAGCCAATATTTATTCTATCTATGGAATCCACAATAAAAGTAACAAATAAAAATAAAGTACGAGCTTCAAATGCAACTTCACACAAATTCCAGGAGCCAAAATTCTCTCGGCAAGATAGAGAACCTCAAAAAGAAAGAAACAAGAGTCATGCGGAAAGAATACCTGTGCAGCGAACAGTGATGCCAGTGGGGATATGGGTAATCCGGACAGCAGTTTCAACCTTATTCACATTCTGACCTCCTTTCCCACCTGCCCTTGAAAAACTGAATTCTAGGTCTTCCTCAGGCATTTCAACATCCAGCGACTCTTCAGGAAGAAGAGGTATGCATTCAACACCAGAAAAGCTCGTCTGTGTACAATTTAATGTCAAAACACACAGAATAAGTTCGTCTCCTAGGAATGAGAGAGAAAGAGACAGATTATCATTCAACACAAAGCTTCTGGCACTAGAGTTAGACTGTCAACACTCCCATGCTATATCTCCAAGGTTTACATACAGTTTCCCACATTCTTGTCATTTTAATTGTGTTTCTTTAAACTTCAACAAGTTAATTTTTTTAGCAATATACCTGCTTCGTACATCATATAAAGCACAAGAATATACACGTTAGATTTTTCAACATTTCCTGATGTTACCATTTGCTAGCACAGTGACATGTGACCATTGGGTATGAAATATCTACATTTAAAATCAGTTAATCAAATGGTAAAAATTGGCATGGAAGATGGTAGAAAATGCCAAACACAGGAAACATCAACCAGGACTAGGGCTGCAAGTTGGGCTGGCCCAACCCAGCCCAGCCCCAACCCAACCTTAACCCGAATCGGGTTGGGTTGGGCTAACCCGAATTGTACTTAACATGGGTTGAGATCATAACCCGGACCGAATATTTTCGGGCGGGTTGGGTCGGGTTGACGGGTTGAAATTTTTTTATTTTTTTTAAATTAAATTTTATATATATATAATTTTTTTTTTGAATTTATATATATATATATATATATATATATGTATATTATATATATTTGATTATATTATTATTAAAAATATATATTTTTTTAGGGCAACCATTTCTGCCTCCCCAATCGCCTCAATCTCCCCTCGTTCTCTACTCTGAAATTGCCCCCCCTCTCTCTCTATGCAACTGCAAGCTACAAAATCAACCAAGAATCACAAGTTCAAAACCCATATATTTCTGTTTATCCATCTTTCTGCAAGAATCAAAAGTTCAAAACCTATGGACTTTCTCTCTCTCTGCAACTGCTAACTTGTATGTATGAGTTTTGTTTTAATTTATTTTTGGAAGTCACGGCGGCAGTGGATCAGTGGCTGAGGTGAGGGACGCCGGCGGTGGATCAGTGGCTGACGCGAGGGACGCCGGCGGCAACGGCAGAGGAACGCCGGCGGCGACAGAAAGAGAAAGAAAAAGAAGAGAGAGAAAAAGAAAGAAGAGAGAGGAGAGAGAAAAGCGAAAAAAAAAAAAATTAAGCCCCCCTCTCAACTCTCAGGTTTCGTCCATGGACGGCGGCAGAGACAGAGAGAGGAGAGAGAAGGAGAAAAAAAAAAAAAAAAAAAAATTGGGTTTTGGGTTGGGTTCGGGTTGAGCCCGAGCCCAACCCGAATATGTCTGGGTTTTGATAAAACCCAACCCGAACATGAACCCGATTTGTGAATATAAGCCCCAATTTCAAATTTTCTAGGTTGGGCTACGTTAACCCGCCCAAGTTGCAGCCCTAACCAGGACTAAGGTGCAAACCAGATCTCTAACATAAATGCCACTAGCTCTAAACAATACTTGTGCACTATATCTCCAGGATACAATAAATGAAGTCTCAATATCAATTTTAAATCTTTTAAATGTTAATGAAAGATAGATCTTATTTATCAAAAAAGAAGTTGATGAAAGAAACAAATTACCAAGAAAGAATATTAAATGAACCAAAGTTCTTCCACATGACCACTGAAGTGGTAAAAGAAATGGAACATCTTTTACCAATTTATGGAGTTATCTAACATGGACAAGTTCCAAAAATAGTAAAGTGGGTCTCCTTTCCTCAGTGATAAAAAGGGTTAGCCAAGTGCACGAGGCTCCCGTCATTGCAGCGTCTGGGGAGAGTCATAAACCGAAGGACCTCCATTGCGACCTGGTGGTCACAGGTTCGAAACCGGAAACAACAAGTAAAGCTGCGTACATCTGACCCTCCCAAGACCCCACAATGGCGGGAGCCTCATGCACTAGGCTAGCCCTTTCCTCAATGATAATATTTGCAAAATTAATCCACAATTATTATTAACCAGTGTTGCTTTGATCCATTTTTTCAAGAAGATGGAAAATAGAACAATAACATGATAAAGTTACCTGGCGAAGGCCCTTAGAATTGAAAGGAGACTGTCGTACAATGCGATGTGTACCCTTTTCCCCCGACAAATACCCATAGGCATAACGACCTTCAATTTCAATTGTGGCTGACTTAATCCCAGCTTCTTCTCCCAAGGACTTTTCAACCACTCTTGTTTTGTATCTTTGTTTCTCTCCCCATCTCACATACATCCTGAGAAGCATGTCAGCCCAATCCTGCACTGGAAATTATCAAAGAAATTTACAAAAATCATGCAGAAAAAAGTGAATAATTTTGCAGTTCATTGTACAGATCTAACACAAAGAATAGGTGAGGATGGCGGCCAGAGGTTATACTTTTGCTGAGGATGGTGGATTACTGCTCTCATCTAAGTGCATGCCAAGAATAGGTGGTCAAATTCCATCTAACTTATTGATATCTTTGTTTGTAGGTAAAACAATTACCTGTGCATCAGTACCCCCAGCACCGGCCGTGATTGAAATAACAGCACCTTCTTTGTCATAGGGACCAGAAAGTAGCTGAGTCAATTCAAACCGATCCAATGCCTTGTTTAGTTCTTTAATAATATTGACAGCCTCTTCAAGAAGCCCAGAATCAATAGAATCCATCTCCTCAGTAAGCTTAACAATTGTTTCGGCATCTTCAACCTGAATGAAATCGTATAGAACACATTATATACCCCAGTTGTAAACAAAAGAAGATTCCAATTTCCAACATTCTAAAGCACAATATATAAAAGCAAAAAGAAACTAGAAGATCATAAAGATCCACCAACATAAACTAGATCCGGAAACTAAGCGACAATCCTAAATTGTGAGGTTCACGTGTCAAAAGCAATACACACAGATAAAGAGGAAAGGTAACAATGTTAAATAAAAACATTTCACGTGATCAAAAGAAGATTACCATACCGAAGATTAATGACTAAGAACACCCGTGTGTGGATTGAATTAGGTGATCATAGTTAATGAAAAAGTCATCATTTTTTCCTCCATTGTTCGAAGATGTGATGGAGCAAATTGTTAAATGATAAGAAATTTTCCCATCTAAACTCTAAAGGGCTAGCCTAGTGCACGAGGCTCCCGCCAATCCGGGGTCTGGGGAGGGTCAAATGAACGCAGCCTTACTCCCGCATTTGGAGAGGCTCCTTCCCATCTGGCACCCAAAATATTCCCAAATGCAGTCAACGAGGTAACCACTGCATATCATACTAATGTCACATAAGCAGGGGATTTTTTGTGCATGTATAATTCTGATTCCGATTTGAACACGTGTTGCCATATTTAAACTGCAAGCTCATACCATATTGATCTTCCAATTTATGACTTTTCCAGACTTAGAAACTCCATCTTGTCAATGCCACATCCACAGATATAATTGCAAGAATTTTCAAACCAACACACACTATCAACTTAAAGGTGGACATGAACGGGGGGAGGGGGTTAAGAAAACGAAGAGAAAAGCTTACCTTCAGTCTACTGTTATATAAATGAATGAGTTTAGACTTTATATGCATGGAGTTGGACTTGGATCCAGAAATTGAAATTGACAAAATAGTAGAGTGGATCATGAATTTATGAGCCTGAACTAAATATAGTCCAAACAATGCCCAAAAAAGTATATTATGTTGTATTTTAAAACTAAAAGTATATTTTAGACTGCAATGTGTATGATCACCGTGGTCTGAACTATATCTTAAGTTACATTCTAGTTGTCAAATTCTTTCCTAGGCATAGAAGCAACTTATTAAGCTTTGCAACTGGAAGGCAGCACTACACCAAGTCACCAAGTGGTGTTTGATAACTCATTTCAGCGCTTAATTCTGAACAGATTAATCGCTTATCCAATTAAGTGTGTCTAATAACACAATTTGAATATCACTGAAAACAGTAAGTGCCACTTAAAATGGGGTAAAATTTTGAGTGACAGGGACATCACTTATCACTGAATGTTGAACGCTGAAAATTCAAAAATATATCAAAAATATTTATTTTTAATTACCACTTAAAAACTTCGGCGCTTAAAATTAAGCTCTTAAATTTTTCAGTTTTATCAAACAGTGCCTTAACTCTCTCTCTCACTATTTTAGGCACATACCTAAGTTTACTATTACTAAGAAACCACCCAGCTAATAGTATATTACTATGAATATCATAATATTTTGTCCTTAATAACATATGAGTTTACAAAAAAAGGAGAAACAAAGGGGAAAAAGAAAAAAGAAAACTTTCCAACAAATTCAACTTACAATATATCATCATTAGATTCTTATTGATATTGCTAGCCTATGTTACCTGGACTCGGTTACGGGTGTCGGACACGGCTATGTGTCTTGAGGTCGGATCCACCAATCTATTCAATTATAAGCTATGTTACACGGACTCGGGTACGGGTGTCGGACACGGGTATGTATTCATCCGTCGGACGTGTCAAATCTCCAAACACGGGCACGGCTAAATATTCATTTTATTAATTATTTTATTTTATTATCTAGAGTAAAGTAATTTTTTTATATAATATAATGTTCAATATAGGCATTTAACTTATTTTAAAGTAATAATATTATGTAATTGGATGATTAGATATGTTTTTTAAGTACATGTCTAACCAAAAGTGTCAGACACATATCCCATATCCATGTCCGAGGGATACGTGTCCGACACGAGTACTTCACTACTTTTGAAGAGTCCATGTAACAGAGATTATAAGACAAGGGGAAACGGAATAAAAGTGTCCAAAATTCGGACACGGGTACTTAATTACGGCATATAACAGAGCTTGAAGCTGTGGTTCAACACGTGGTTTACAAAAATTGTCTTATACTGTAGATATATATATATATATAATATTCTGTTATGATGGGTTGAAGGCCATCTTTTTACTGTATCTCTTTTTAAAAAAAAAAAAAAAAATCACCGATCATTAGTTCTAGAATTTATTATTTATTTAGACCCATACTCATACTGGACACATTTTAATTATTATACAATAATAAAAGTATAACCTATTTATTTAAGTCTCGCAAGTATAGACATTATGTCCTACTCTCTCTCTACAAAAAAAAAGAAAAAGAAAAAAAAGAGAGATATCCTTGTCATTTATCTTTTAGTTGGTAAGGTAGATGGTTTTTTACAAGAAAAGTAGTGTAAATGTAAAAGTAAAAAGTAACTGCACAAGGCTCTATATATATTGTTTTTTAATACTACTAAGAAAAGTAAGTAAGTCTCCTAAGAGTAAAAAAGATACGAAGCAAATGTAAAAGTAAGAAAAGTCAAAAAGTGAATGCACTGGGTCCAATAAAAAAAGTAACTGCACTGAGCCCAATGTGATAAAGGAACGCAGAAACAAAGAAAACGTGGCAGTAAAAGTGACCACTCATCTGCCACACGTCAGATTATCAAATAGAGAGATGAGTGGCGTGAATTCACTTTCGCATAAAATTAAAAATCGTGTAACAGCCGCGTGTTGAAAACGACCATCTTCAACCTTAAAAAAGCCCTAATTTCTAACTAGCAAACGCGAGCATGTCTTCTTCAGTCATTGATCAACCATGTCCGATGGAAGCAAGGGGTGTCCGACCCATATTTCGTGTCGGCGTCCGTGTCGTGTCGTGTTAACATGGACACCCTGACCTAAACTGACGAGTCCAGGTAACACAGGTATTAGCTTGAAGGTATAAGACAATTTTTGTAAACCACGTGTTGAACCACAGCTGTGTACTTATGTAAATAAGTGGTTCAAGCTCTGTTATATGCCGTGTCTAAGTACCCGTGTCCGATTTTTGGACACTTTTATGCCTTGTCCCCGTGTCCTATAATTGAATAGATTGGTGGATCCGACCTCTAGACACGTACCCGTACCCGAGTCCGGGTAACATAGGTTAATACTGATTTAAATCTCTTGTCACTTGTCAATTATCGTATCTCTCACCGTTTTAGCTTTCTCTTTTGAAGACTTCACCTCAGGTGCCACTGCCTTAGCAGACAGTCTTCACTACATTTTTTGAACCATCAAAACCATTGTTCTGTTTTACATTCATTTATATAGAATTTTCCCTTGGTTCCCATTCAATTATCTCAACGACCTTATTTTTATCAAAAGTATTTAAGCTTGATCAATTGATCCACCAACATCTGCCTCCATACAACATTTACAAGCATATTTCTGCCAAGAATCTTCTCATTATTAAATTGAGCTACATGAGTTTCATGGGACCCTTAAAAACAAGCTTCCGTCCCAAATAAAAAAATTAAAAAAAACAACGACCATGAGCTCTAGATGCTGTCAATTTCTGCATCTTTTGGATAACTGAGACAAGGTAACAACTAACAAAGGTATCACCTAGCTAATAAAATAGATCTTCACCCTACCTTAAAATAAAGTCATCTGAGTTGCAATAATGTATTTAGGCTTTTTCTATACTCACTTTCAAGTTCAAACAAAATATACTACAAAAGGCCCATCAAGTTTCTTATTCTTGAACTGAGAATATGGCCATGACTCAAGAAGCATTTGGACAATTATGGTGGCTAGGTTGATACCATCTTGTCCAGGTGGTCAGTTATCATAGATGTCATTCACAGACTCGTCGGGTCAAGTCTCTCAAGGAGCTAGAATACTATCTTCATTATATTGGCCAAGTATTAAGGCAATCCAATGTAATTAAATAAATTCTAGACATATAGTGAGTAAGGACATCAAGGTGGTTGATACTTTATGTGAAATTACTTAGGACAGAACCTCCTAAACAGTGGGTCCTTCCCCAACGCCTCTTTAAATTTGCATCAAGCACCAGACAAAGACAAAACCAAAGCCTTTTCAAAAGAAAATCATCTAAATTTGAGTAATTTTTTGAAGAATTCGTAAAATTTTGACAAATGGCCCGCATCATGTATTAATAACTTTTTTTAACAATAATTCATACAAAGAAGTAAGATATTATGAAGGGGAAAAAAATGACACAAAATGTAGACTTGAGCTTTTCCGACGATTTGGATGTTGGAGAAGAAATTTGAAAATGATGAAAAAAGGAGAACAAAAAGTAAGGTGTTAAAAATAAATGAGATGATAATATTTAATTTTTAGACTTATCAAAAAAGATAAGTTCAATTTTATGAATGCATGGTGCTTCATTTTTCACTCCTATAATTTTGAAAGAAACTAAAACACAAAAAAAAAAAGTGTAAATTACAGAAGAAATAAGTTTGGACCTGGGTTTTGAACTCAGTTAGAAGCCTTATTTTGTCTTTGACATCAGTCAAGGCCAGAAGGGTTTGCTGAGCTTTAGCACGATCATCCCAGAAAGTGCTGTCCGAAGCATTCATTTCCAAAGCTGCAACATCTTCTTCTAATTGCTTCATGCCAGCAGAGGCCGTAATCTCCTCAACACGGCCTGAGGTAGTTTCGACATCCCTTCTCAAGGTATAAAAATCTGTCAATAAAATCAAAGCTATTAAGACATGTAAATGCATGATTCATAGGGTCTATCCATTAGAACAACAATTCATGTGCAACACATTCATGGGACTGCAATTACAAAGACAAGTCACCTAAATGCTTACCAGCTCTTACTAGGTTTTAACAGATACAACTATTGGTCACAGTCTAGTAGGGGGTTTCAAAAGAGCAAGACATTTATTTTCATATAGAAAATGGATGGACAGAACACTATATTAGTTTGCCTACATAATAACTCCAGGCTCATAGGGATATGTTTGAGCTCTCAAATTTGACCGCCATATAATATTATTTGCACTTGCTGATTCGAATACAATTAACCTACCTTGAAAGAACAGTTTCACTTTTAAGAGCTTGAATGTGATGAAAAAAAATTGAAATTAAATAAAACCATGAACCAAAATACCAAGTCTTTTTTTCTAAATAAGACATGATCCTTGAACAAGTAAAGATAACTACTCAGAATAGGAAAAAAATTGACAAGTTAAAAGATTCAATGGCAACTGATGAAAAGTCCTGAGTGAAAATTGAAAGAAAAACTCATCAATTCAAGTTTGTCGGTCATATTTAAGGCAAAAATGTCACCTCTGATTTGTGTAGGCACACTAATTAAGTGGCCTTCTAGGTCCATGATTTTCCAGCAGAACTGTTCAAGATAGAGTTTAGATGAATCCCTAAATGTTAGGTAATAATGACCGCATAATCGCCAAAGAGGTTAATTGGCTTGTGTACTGATGTTATAAAGTTCTGTTCAAATTTAACAATAGCATTTTATGTGAGGCCTTAGAGATGTAATAATGACCTCAACATTTGTTGGGAAGTGAGGTATTAGCAACCACTTTGTAGAACTTGGCACAATCTTTCCATAATCGAAATCCTCTTTCTTTTTCTTTCTATTTTATTCTGCAAACAAATTCAGTTTACTATCTATCAAGAAAATAAACCATTCCAAAAAAAACAACATAATCTCCTTTACAGAATTTACATCTCCAAAAAACATTTCAAATAAGACTTTGAACTAAACATAATGAACACAGTGTATAATCGTAAAATTGAAGTATCTATCAATATGCATCATCAATGTAATGGTATTATTTGAAACTTTTGGTGCACACACAATTATCCTACCAAACAAGTTTAACACAAGGTGGTCATCAAATCATTTCTAAACTACTTGACAAAAATATTTCGAAATTCAAAAACAAGTACCTTGCAGTGCCCACTCGCTTGATTCAGTGCTGACTCCTACACTCAATTGACTCTCCGGTGTTGCAAGTAAAACTGAGTCAACTTCAAAATTCAAAAAAGTATATGAGTACATCAATAAAAAAGTAAAAATACAGTATTGAAATTCAATGCTTTAGGACATTCATTTTCAATTATAACGAACCATAAGTGGCAGGGTAAGCATATTAACGTACAAAATGGATCACAACTTGTGATAGAGAGCACGGATTTTGAACCATGAAATAACTTTAGCAAACTGAATTTTTTTACAATACGAACAACTAAAGTAAAATTGTGCAAATTGGAGGTATCTAAATGAACTAAGGAAAAGACAAGCACTACCAAAAGTATACATTAATCGAGCAATCTTAGGGAAATTTCTATTAAAGAAACCCATAAATTTGTTTTTCACTTCAAATTTTTTGGTATACATTAATGATTTTGCAGGCGCATTTAGTTTCTAGATAATTCATGCAAAAAAAAAAGCTTTTCTGGTTAAGCCTAAAAAGTAGTGAAAATGCCAATAAACTGCATTAAAAATAATTATAAAAAAAAAAATCAAAAAATATGTGGAAAACCATGTTCAAACTATACACCAATTGAGTTAAACCGACAAATTTTCTACAGAAATTCCAATAAATCATGCCCAAATGTAACATCTAGAACAAACCCATTATAAATTTCTACAGATATTCCAATAAAATCACACTCAAATATATAACATCTAGAACAAACCCATTACAATTCCAGATTAAGTAAATAAAACCCACAAAGCTGTTGCAGAAACATACAGAAATTGGGATTCCATTTTACAACACAAAAGCATGTAAAAATTTGAAATTCACGTACAAGTTGAGGCGAAACGAGAAGGGGGATAAAAAGTGGTGGAAAAACCGAAGGCCGAATGTGAAGAAGAAAGAGGATGATGATGAAGAGAGAGAGTGAAGGTGTAGGGAGAGAGTAGTAGTTTTCGTGGTGTAGCTGATGCTATGACTCTTGTAGTTGTTGTCGTTGTTGAGCAATAGGATTGTCGTGGGTGGTGATTTGGAGGCGTTACGAGGGTTTGGACAAGACCCTCCATGGTTTCTGTACGTATAAACTGCTTTATGTTATAGAGAGAGGGAGAGAGGATGATGGGGAGAATCCATTGCAACCCATCAAAAAGATAAAGCAAGCAACGAATGCCAAGGATACACCAGTCTTGTTACCAAATAAATTTAAAAATAAAAAATTAATTCATATGACTTGTCACCAAATATCTAATATATATTTTTAGGTTAAATTACACCGACCTAAATTACACACCATTTGTCCTTTAATACTTGAACTTCCTGGGATTTGGCATACATACTCTAACACAACCCACTTCTGATTTTAAAAATGACTAAATTGTCATATCGTGGTAATAAAAAGACTTCAATTACCTTAATTTTCTGTTTGGTAAGAAGGAAAGAAAAAGGGTAGATGAAAAATAAGAAAGAATAAACAAAATTCTTCTGTTCGATCAAGAAATGGTAAGAAGATAAGAGAAAAGATGATGAATGAGTCATCCTTCTTCCATCACAAATTTTGATCGTTTCAAGTTTGGGTGGAAGACACAAAGGAAGAAAGGCAATATTATTATAAATATTTTTAAATTATAAAACGTTCCTTATAGTTAGCACTTTCTTTTCCTTTTAACCAAACAAAAAGAGAAGATGACACCATTTTTTCTTTGGACATGTTTCATTTATCTTTTTTTTTTTTTTTTTTCCTAGTTAATACTCACACACTTTTATCTCTTCCGAGACTTGAACCCCTGACCTCCCTTTGAGAAGTATGAGATTGATATCGCTAGGTCACCGGCCCATTAGTGTTTCATTTATCTCTTCTTTTGTCTCTTCCATCATACTAAACGGAGCATAAAATTTGACATAAAATAGCAAAAATATCAAGAAATGTCATTGAAATACAAAGTATTTATTTTCATACCAATTTTATATTATTAAATTTTACAAATAAATAAATAAAATTAAATTAATAATAATAATAAGCGTAAAGTACAACGACACCCCCTGAGATTTGTCATAAGGACAAATATATACAAGTTGGCTGTTTTTCAAACAATGACACCTCCTGAAATTTGAAAAAAATATTAGAAACACCCCCGTAGCCACCTGTCACATAAAACACATGGATAATTGACAACCAACTTGTCATTTGACTGTTTAGTGGGCCTTTTTAACTTTACAACTTAATAAATTAAACCAATCCACTCATCATTAACATTTGATGCAAAAAAAAATAGAGAAGATAAATCTGCACAACAGTGAATAAAAAAATTATAGAAAATTCATTTGAAATCGAAACAGAGCAAACAAAAATGTTTTGGAAAATAGACTCGCGGAAGTATACAATTGAATATTTTGGTGATGATCGATGTCTAGAAGGCTATCAAATAAATAAATTAAAAACTTAATTTCAAAGAGTGAAAAATTCTAGACAACAACTATTGTCGAATTTTTATAAAAATATCTATTTGGCCAAAAATTATGAAATTTTTCAAAGCAACCAGACATGCAGAGGAACCTTTGATAAAAGTTTCATATAAATCAGACTATTACAATACCTTAGAGAAAATCATGAATTTCAGCACAATAAATTGACGCCATTTTGTGACTCATATTTACTCAAGGGTAATTTTGACATTTCAACATGTCGGATATTTTACAATAAAATTGATTTTATTATTAAGGGGTAATTTCATCTTTTTGAACCACTTAAAGCCTTGTTTGGAAGATAATTCTGACAGTGGTGTCATTATCCAAAAAATAATCAAATTGTATATATATGTCCTTATGGCAAACTTCAGGGGTGTCATTGTAATTTATTTATAATAATAATTAGTCGTTTAATATAGTGTTTACAAGATGGAAAAAATAAAGGAGGGTAATAGAGAATTTTGTTTTGACAGATTTTTTGTTATTAAACTATTATTAAATTAGTTAAGGGTATTAAAGAATTTCACATTTTAGGGGAGGTCAAAGTAATAAATATCAAACACTCTATATTCATGTGTAATTCACTAATTTGCCCAAACCTCATGGGAGGTTAGTATAATTTACCCTATTTTTCACATAGAAATTTTTATAACAGTTTGTCAATAAAAATATAATTTTTTTTCATTCTAACAAATACCAAGGACTTGATTTTTTTTTTTTTGACAGAAGGATTTGATTTTAATAATCTTTACAACCATACTCTTTTTCATAATTTTTTTTTCTCGTAGTTTTGTTTCTAATTAAAGATTACGCTACGAAGGAAATTTGCAAGGAACGAACATTACAAAGTGAAACTAAAAATTATTAAAGGCTGTGTTTGTCGTTCGATACTAAGTCACATAATTCTTCTAAACGGGTGTTGCTCTCACGCGTGCTCCTGTGCACGTGCTCTGCACACGCTCTTGCTTCCAATCCCACTATGTGTGACAAATTTTGTCGATTTCGCGCTCCCACTCTCTCACCCACTTTATGTGATTTAGGTTTAATGTTTAGTTAATACTATGATACGGTGCATTTTCATTGAATGAGCATTATAAGTTAGTATTGCTGGCTCACCCCATATCTCATTCTTGACTTCCTTAGAGTTGTTCGAATTTTAGATTTTAATTTTACTCAAACTCAGCTATTTTGTGATTTATAATTCTGTCATCGAGACTTTTAGGATGGAATAATATCATGTCTCACTGATTGGTATTTTTGGCTAGTCGTAAACATATCAATAGGCCTGACAATATCAGATCCCTACTCTCAACAAAGAGGTAAAAAGTTCAAGCTTTAGTGGACACAGGTCACCTGTGTAAGCACTAACTAAGAACAAAAAAAACAAACAACAACTTACCACGTGTCAATTTTTCTATTACATTAACTCTCTCATACTAAGTACTCCCTATGAGATACTTTTTTGAGAGCTCTATGTGAACCATACATTTTTCTCTTTTCTTGGATAAGGTAAGCAATACATTCTTTATACATATATGTGTGTGTGTGTCATGCTTAAACACATAGCATACTAGTATAACTTCCTCTGTTCTAGAGCCACATGATCGAAAAAACAAATAAAAATGACAAGCAAAGCTTCTTCGATCTCTTCTTCTATCATCATATGCTGCTTGTTCATGATTTGGATCATCATGGTTTCACCTGTACTCTCAGCGCGAAAATTATCCACCACTCCCATCAGTAAGTACTATGAACCCTCGTTCTGTCTCATATATATATATATATATATATTCATTGATTTTGTTGTATGAGTTTTGCAGACGAACAAAGTAAAAGTAGTACAGCAGGAAGAGGTCCAATCATTTGGATAACACCTTCGCCTCCCTGTCCCAAGGTTTGCAGCTCCCCAATCGTTGGAAAACCATAGGAGAATGTGCGTGTAATATATTTGCTAGTCACTAAAACTAGCATATTAGTGGTGAGAGAATACGAGTGATTTGTAAAAAATCTAAGATGCTTTTATTGAGACGTGAGAGTGTGCGTGTAATATATTTGCTTGATTTTGTTTTATATTTAGCCAAATTAATAATGTGTCTAATTTATGCGACTATGTTATTCAACCCAATTTGAATTTTCCTTTTACCCCTTATATAGAGAGTTGTGATAATAAATTAGTAGTAAATAATTCATCTGAAGAGTTTGAGTTGCTTTCTTAATTAATTAATTGACTCAAATTAAGTAAATGTCTTTACATTGATTCTTGACTTTTTTTTTTTTTGCCATGCACCCATGAGAAAGTATAAAAAATTTGGTTTTTATTAAGATAGGTATTACGTGTCAAAATATAGAGTATGTACTCTCTCATGCTTTCACATGCAAGAACTTAAACTTTTAACCTTCAACCTTAAAACGTGAATAAGTAGGACTAGAATACACATCCTTGTTATTGATTTTGATTTTACTACTATTTTTTTTTTTTTCTTAACCTTTTAGCTTTCCTTTTCATCAATCAAGACTTTGCTCCTGGATTTGTTTTCCCTTCAAAGTTTAAGCAAATAAATACGCATTCATAATATTGTCTCTAACAAGACTCGAACACTCAATCTCCCTTTTAAGAAAGAGATATCATACCATTTGAGTTCAATCTCATTTGTTATTCTGTGAAATTCTTTACTTTGAGACTTCATGAAACTGACTTTTTATAATTTGATCACACTTTAAAAGAAAGTAGATGTATAATATAATTTCGTATTCGTAAGTAACATTATTTCTAACATATTTTTTAAAAAATAATAAAAAATAAAAATTTTGATGACTTATGTCTTGCTTCTTCCGTCCCAAATTAAAATTTCTTTTCCAGGATTCTAACTTTTTAAGAAAGGGAAATGCAATTAATTCATCTCTCTTTTTGAAATTTAAATATTTTACCCCAAGAATATAAATATTTACATTGTAAATTCCAAGACTAATTTAGAAAAGTAGTATTTTTTTTTCACATTGATTATCCAAAAGGGACCTTTACTTTGGGAATTCCAAAAAAAGGGCCATTTATTTTGCAACCGGGGGAATATATATGTCATCTCCACTTCTACTATTTTTTTTTCATCTCCACTTATGTTTCATTTGGTAGAAATGAAGTAAAATGGACTGATGAAAGACAAAAAGAAATAAATCAGACATTCTAAAAAAATATATTATGTCATTCTCTATTTTGATTTGGTTGGATAACTGAACCTGTATAATTTTTCTTCAAAATATTTATGTCTAATTTTTATATTAGGACCACTTTTAACATGATGATGTGACTCATACATTATTTTTTATTGTGAAAATGTGTTAATTTAGAGCATGAGAGATTGATGTACTACTAGAGATTATGAAAGCATAAGAGACGAGAAATTTGATATATGGAGGCAATACTACTTACAACAGTTGAGACACATTCACATCCATTGCTATTGAGAAAAAACAGAGGACACTTTCACTTCTGTTTTATATCCCTTAAATGACCCCCAATCGTGCTGTACAAATTTTATTTTATTTTATTGATGTCTCAAATTCGACCTCCTAATTGTCAAAGTAGGTTGAGAGATCTCTGACAGCCCTCTCTGCATCCATGAAGGCATGGGTTCCCTATCTTTCTGGTTTATTTATGCATCTTATCTATCATCATACCCAAGTAATTTGATGCATTATATATCACGAACCTATTCAAGCCCTCCTCCATCAGATCAGAAAGAAAACACTGGAATATATGGATAAAATTCCAAAGTTAACTATTCCAGAACCTGAAATCTTTAACCCATTTGAACTTGTTAAAGATATGATCAGAAAACAACAACCATTAATTACCGAAGCTGATTTAATGGTTAAATGCATGGATTTTATGAGGACTAAGTTTGTTAAATCTTTTGAATCCTCTACCCCTACAGTAAGAGATGATGCATCCATGGTATCAGTCTCTAGCCAAGACGGTAATCAATTTTCCTGTCTGGCCGGTTATGCACAAGATCCCAATGAAGATCTTATCTCCGAAGATGAGCCTACAGATGAGCCTACAGTGGCAGACTATTGGGACTCTCTCACTGAGCACTTAAAGGACAAGATGAATCCACCCAAAAAGTAAAGATTCCTCTTATCCTGCCGACAGAAGAAGACAAAGAACTTTTCCACAAAGTCTTTGATTCAACAGTATTTCCTTTATCAGATGTCTACTTTCCATCAGATAAGGAGACAGCACTTAGTGGTGGGCCGACCGACTGCATTATTCTAGCACACGATCCCATGCACTATGCGGACTTCAAAATGTTCATTTTAAGTCCATTTTAGGTATAAATAGAAGGCAATGTTTCCCTTCAATGTATCTTTCAATTTTCTTTTCTCTCCACTGTAATATTTCTCTGTACAAGCTTGAAGTATAATAAAGAAAGTTTTCTGTAAGTTTTAAACACTTGTGTAATTTTGTTTCATATAAACTGCTTATCGATCCTAAGATATATCGTCTTTTATATATCTGTGAATTTGGTATCAGAGCCATGTTGGCTTAATTTGTTATTGTTAATACTTTTTTGGTTCTGGTAGCATGATTATTATCGTAATTATGTACTGAACAATATGACTATTATTCTGTCCAAATTCTGTTTATCCCAGATTCAATTATGGGTCGTCCAAAAGTCGCGTTGAAATGTTTAACCCGTTTTTGCATTAAATTGCTCCACATGGTATTGTTTCCAGTAAATCGTTGACAGACGAGTAATAGAATCTCTCTTAAGCAGAACGACGACAGAATAGTAACTTACTGTTCACTATATAATATTATAATAATTACACTATGCAGACTTCAAAGTATTAACAATAATTAACAGCCATGTTACAACCATATTCGTCCTCCTCTTCAGGACTACAGGACAACCAGGATTCAGAACTGGTCAAAAATACTGAAGTAGTGGAATGGACCAATGTTTAAAATCAATTGAACAAATGGACTATCCCTCCAGTAAGTGCAAAGAGCATTTACAAAATCGGAATGCTTAATTTAGCTGATTTATGGACTATTAAGACCATGGAACAGACCATGCAATTAAGCACTAAGGATACAATAATTAAATTATTGTCTTCCCGTGACCTTCAGAGGCACATGCATAAATATAAGTACATCCATATAGGTTTAATTCAAATTGCTTTTAAACCTTTAACCTTGTTAGGTATGGATGCTTGTATTCAAGCAACCCTTAGGGATGCTCGGTGTCTGAAATTTCACCCTTCTTTGATGGGTGCACTGGAAACCAGTCTATGTCATGGACCGGTTTATTTTGATGTCTATCCTAGTCTGAATTTATCTTTAACAGATAAAAATATCCATGAGGCAGTTAGTCTTAGGGTACAGACTTATGGATATGATTACTTACCTGGATCGGAAGTGATAAGTGTGATTTATCGCATCCATTACAAAGTACTTGATACTATGTGTCCCAAGGCCATACGCAAAGACTCTAAAGGAGTAACAGCGTTATGGGATACTAACATGTACACCTCAAATGTTGCCACAAAAAGGATGATTCCTTGGAGTGAGATAACATTTCCTGAACACTGGACGATTTCTAATGCCGTCCCAGCACAGCCAATTGCTAATCATAGCTTAGACTGTGTTATTCAGGATCAAGATGGTGATGTTTTTCTGAACTTCAGAAAATCGATAGATCTATCCAGATCTGCATCATCTAAAGGAAGCCATCTTCCTTATCGTGTTTCTTGCCCTCCTTCTCGACATTCGATCTCATCAGATTACCGAAAGGAAGGACTTCCTGAAGCAATTGATTCCAAGCTCAAGCTGAAAGGAATACAACAATCTCCGAATCAAATTCCAAGAGGAGTATACGAGAAAGCACCAATAGGTATGTCTCGTCGCCAATTTGGGATTGAATTCAGCCCAACTCCATCTGAAATGGGAATCGGAAATGAATCTGTCAAGGATCAGTTTGAAGATCCCACAGATATCAATGACCCTCATGAATATTAGTTTTAATGGATTTTGTCCCTGATAGAATTGCCATTAATGCTGAATTTCAACAGGATCAATATAAAGAATTCAGAAATTGGTATTTCAAAAGTTTTGACCAAAATCAATTACAACTTTTCAAAACCCAATTTTATGACTTTCTACAAGAACGCAAAATGGTTATACCTTTTGTTTCTTGGTTCTACATGACCAATCATTCTCTTGTTAATATCAACATATTGGATGATTTTCTCAAACCATGGACCACATCTGAAGACAAGGTTTTCCACTCTGTCCATCCTCCCCCTGAACATTTAATTCTGAAAAGAATTGACCCTGACAGTGGTTCTAAAGTGGAAACCAAGGCTTATAGCCAACCGAAAGTAATTGATCCAACTAGTACTGCTACTAGAAAGGACATTACTCACGTTTACAAGCAGAACAATTATACCAATGTTTGCTTACAAACGATAGGGTCCCAGCTTGGGAGAATTGAAACAGGAATAGACACGGTATTAAATACGATTAATACTAAGTGTATTTCTGAGAAACCTTCTCCTCCAGAAGCTTCCTTATCCAAAGCATTGGTGAAACCTGCAATTGAAGTTCAAGGCTTCAATCTGACACATCCTAAGAAGAATGAAGAATTTCTTACTCTTCTTACTCAGAAAATTCAAGGACTTAAAATTCAGACTTTATCCCATGATGAATCTGAAATTGGTTCTGATTCTGAGAATGTGTTACCTCATATTGAGGAAGTTCTCAAGGATCTTGCTCAGTTACCTGAGTTCAACAGAATTGTCTATGATAAGAATATCCACTCGAATACAGCCCCTGCTCCGAGTCGATATTATTATCCCAGACCCACACCTCAAGATATCTTGTATGAAGAAGATTACTTTCATACACAGAAATCTTTTCATGGCAAGACCATTTATGAATGGAACATAGATGGCAAATCTGATTATCAGATTTACGAGGTTATTCATCAAATCCTGATGTATAGCTAAGTTTGTAAAATCAACAACAATACTGACCCAACCATTGCTAAATTTGTCGTTGCTGGTTTTACAGGAATTCTTAAAGGATGGTGGGACAATGTTCTCACTGACATTCAGAAAGCTGAAATCTTTTCTGCCACCAAGATTGTT